TAAATTTAAAAAAAAAATTACTAAATTGTATGCACAAATTTATTGCTTCTTCTTAATGGCTTGGTCTTTTTCTTCAGGCATTCTGCAAGTATATTAAAAAGCATTCAACTTTTCGAAGCATCTTGGTATTTCTGACAATTTTAAATAAAGTTATTGCCTTCCATTTCATAAAGGGCCCACAAACGGCCAAGCGGTAAAGTCACTGAACACTGGTAGTTCACTCCGGGATTCGAATCCTGACGAACAAGCTGGTTGCCTGGGCATTTTCATAGTTTTTCTGTGGTCTTTCTCCTAACTTAATAATCCAAATCAATCCATTTCATCAGTATTTAGTCAGAGCCTTTATCAGTCTTTAGAGGCTAAGCATTTTGAAAGCATGAGATGAAGGCATGGTATCATCAAGAGGGAGAAACGTCTTTAGGTGACATCTACATACATCACTGGATAAAATTCCTGAATCTTCAAATAATTCGACTAAGAAATCATGGTATTCTTCGTTTATGATGATATGATGTTCTATAACGTAATTTAAATTTATACTACCATATCGTCAAAAACCAGTTGCTCTTCACTTTAGTTAGCAATATCGTTTTTGTCTTTTCCGTTAGCACAAGCTCAATGTATTTGCTGTTGTACGCGTCCAAGTGAACACCTCTTTGAACACCCAAATTCCTTGAAATATTCTGAAAGTATGTTCAAAAGCATCCAGATTTCAAAACACCTTGGTATTTCTGACAGCCAAATTTCCCTTCAAATTTTTGCTTACTTTTCTCCCTAATTTTTCTTCTTTCCTTCTACATTTATTTTTAGTGCTCACACAAGAAAATTAAGATTTTTCAATTGTTACACTTCCATAAATTTTGCATTCTTGTCAAATTTTTTAAAATATCAATTACATCAATTGCGTTTCCAGCTGAAGACACTTTTTCATTTTCTAGACATTTTAACTATAAATAAAGTTTAAAGCAAAGTCCAAAGTATAAATATTTTAATTAAAAGATTTTTTGCTAAATGACAAAGAAATAAAACAGTCCAGCAATGTATATTTTGTACCACCGATTATTATATCAGCTGCCAACAATCTAAATCGTATTAAAGATCATGTTTTTTATACAATCTATAACACGAGAGAAAATTGGCTACTTAAAACATTCTTTCTAAGAGGATTAATGTAAATATTTATATATATATATTATATAAAGCTGAGATATGACCAAAAATGTCGACGTCCTGTTTGCTTAAAAACATTGTGAAAATAAACATCAAATGAACTTTCTCAGTTTTAGACAATTCAGTTTAAATGCAGTTAAAGTAAAGTAGCAGATAATAACATGGCGAAGGTAAAAATTTACTCTTACAAATATTTAAAAAAAAAAAGGAAGAAAGAAAGAAATTTAAAAAAAAATAGGCTTTTCATATATAGTATTAATAAATATTTATTATACATCATTGAGAGGAAAAAATTTGATATAATTAATTCTCTGTAAAAATCTATTTGAAATTTAAGGTTAAAAGTGGCTGCGGCAATTCACTGTAACGAAAATCCATAAACCTTATTTGGCGCAATTATCACTCAAAAAAAAAAAGATGCTAAATTTCAAAATACAAAAATAAAGTTATTAAAAAATACAAATTTTAAAAGTAAATTATAAAAAATAGGTGAATTTTATTTGGAATGAACCTAAATTTCGAAATGTGAAAGGAAGAATATTAAAGTTTAATAAAAAAACGAGATATTAATAAATATATATCAAATTCAATTAACATTGATGACCTGATTATTATATCGATTATAATAATCTTTGAGGGCTAATTTTTTAAAAACTACTTGTGCGATTTTTATAAAACTTTGTAGTCTGCCATAATTTGAGTCAGAATCGAAAGATGGAAAAAAAAAATGGCATGTCATTTCAGAAAAAGTCCGATTTCATGTCAGAATACCTATATTAGAACAATGCTATATATAAATCTACATATTCTAAGTCGCGCTTTCGGAACATGAAGAACGCAATTTGAATTTCGTCAATCAGCCTAGTAGAACAGGAGGTATATAACTGTCTTTTTTTTTTTTTTTTTTTTTTTTTTTTTTTTTTTTGTTTTTTTCCCCCGCAGTGTACCTCTTCTGGTATTTGACTGACTATTTCATCTAAAATTGCAATGAGGGAAGAAATGAAATTGATATTTAATTATTTACAAATAAAGAAATCACTTTAACCTTAAAATGTCTTTAGCATGACTTTGAAGTATGCAAAGAGCTGATAAATGTTAAACAAATACAGACATGTGCAGAAACAACATTACTTTCTGGTCCCCCTTATATTAGATATCACCATAGCAGTGACTGCCTTAGATTTAAATGTGGCCTTTTCTTAAAATCCTGTACTTTCTACCCATTTTTTTAGAATTTTTTGCTTATTCTTTGTGACTTAACTTTGTTTGCATATTGCACTTGGAATAATAGGATTTACAGTCTAATGGTTTAGAAAATGATACATATGGTACTATATAGAACTTTTATAGAACCAAAGTTTTTGAATGTTATATGCAGAAATAACAGATAGAAGTTCTATTGCTCTTCAAAATCTATTAATTTCAACTGAGTAATTTTTTTCTAAATTCTTAATATCTAGTAATAAATATACTTTTGAGACCTCATATTAAAGGCAAGAGGAAGAGCTATGGCATATTTAAAATAAATATTCATCTCTTATAATAGGATTAAATGGACAGCATTTAGCAAATTATTTGAAGGTTATGTGCAACAATTTATTTTGAGTAAAACTTAAGGAAGACAGTAATAAAACTAAAATGACTCATATATAATGAAATAAATTATCAAGCAAAACAAATGTCTATACTTACTCTGCAAAGCTAGTAAAATGTATATTAGATTTTTTCAATATTTGCCCATTTCTGTGGAAAGTGACAAATTCTGTGTCTCTTAAATATGCTGCAGTAATAGAAATAGAGGTAGAAATTCTCTGCCGGAAACCTACCTTGAAAGTTTCAGAGGTACTGAAGAATATTTTAGAAAGGTTTTTAGATGTAGTGAACAAGATTTGGAGGCTTTCATGGAAAGTAAACAATTGCATACTGCATTCTTTTGTAGTATAACAGAAACAGAGGTAGAAATATATTGTCAGAAACCTATCTTTGTAGATATTTAACTGACAAAATTAGCAAGGCTGACAGTCTTGTGTTTGGTGTAGATTTTAGTTAGGAACTCAATTGATTTCAAGGACAACCAAGTGCAGGTCCTTCTTCATCAGGAGTAAAGAAATCTGCAGTGAAGGGAAAGCCACAATCGTACTTTTACCCAAAACGAGTAAAGCGAATGAGAAGGTAATGCCATCCATTGGAAGAAATAATAACAAAAATTTTTAATTAAGTTAATAGAATTTTAAAAGCATTAGGAAGGACTTAATTGGACTAAAGCCATTAACACAATAAGCTAAAATCTTTGTGAATGTGTAAAGCTTCAAGGAAATCCAATTCACTAAGTTTTAAATACAGGAATTAGATACAGTCAGTGATGTATTGAATACTCAACAATAATGTGATTTATATTTTTGCAGTAATTCTTTTCTAACCTTGCAATGAAAAATTTTAGCCATAATTATTTAATTTGTGTTGTAAATTATTTAATTTATCTTGGTCTCAAACTCAAATTGCATGCGGGCCAAATGCATGATTTGGAAGCAGCTGATGGTTCAAAATTTTTTAACAAAATTAAGTATTTTTAAAGCAAACATTTTTTTTAATTAGATTTAAAATTTCACATACATAAACGTATTAATAACTTAACAGAAAAATTCAAATTTATCTTAATTTTCTGTCTGAAATCTAAAGGCTGGTATCAGCAAAAAATTTCTGTTGGTTACATTTTGCAATTCATATGCATTGATTACTAAATGATTTCAGTTACTTCTAATATGTTGAATTAACAACTAAGTAATATCATATAACTGAAAGTAAATGAAACAGATTCCAAAAACTTTCTAAGTGAAATAAAAATTTGAGAATATGGACAATCTATTTCCATTCCTTCATGTATGTACTAAATGTTTCTTTGACGCATGCAGAAGAATGCGTATATTTTTTGTAAACAAATATAAACTTCTCTATTTCTTGTTGTCACTTTCAGCTACTGAACCTTATGGCATTTCGATTTTGATAAAGTTGGAGAAAAATTATCAGAAACTTTATTCATCATGAATAGTAGATGCTTATCACTCAATCTGGTTCTTTTCTTAAACTTACTAGTTTTCAATCGCAGAAAAAAAAATCTGTTCACAAATAATTGTACTTCTAAACAAAAAAATTATATTTTTTACGAAAATTCTTAACTGAGTGTATTTATCATTGAGCAAATATGAAAAAATGTTAATCAAATCTGCCCTTTCAATGGTATTGAAACTACCATAAAATTGAACTGTTAGAATTGAAGAAAACGTTTTAAAAAACTGAATTTGAAGAAAATGTTTTAGTGATTCAGATCACTAAAATGATTTCTTCAAATTCTTGTCATAGTAATACTAATTAATTTGCTTGGAATGTATTTGTGGTCCTTTTAAAATTGCTTCAGGGTTCACCAGTTTGAAACCACTGGTTTTAAATTACATATTACCATGATGGAAGATGTTGTTGCTGAAATTTATATTTCCTCAAATTGAAATGCCTTCATGCAACAAGGTGATGGTTTTAAATTGGTTTTATTGATGGTTTTAAATTGGTTTTATTGATGGTTTTAAATTTCTTTAACTTAACTAATGTGCTTTCATGTATCTGAATTATTTTAATATGTGTCATTTATCACATTTAACTTGATGTTCATAGATGAACTACGTATTCAAATTTAGAATGAAATTGCATATTGTTTTGCTTTATTAAATGATGTGGAAATTATGTAACATTAAGATTAAAAGTAGTTTTATTGTAAGGTATTCTTCTAAGGTATATGTTTGATTTAATATTGTTAAAAATAACTATGTTTCTAACAGGCAAAGTTGGCAGGAACACTGAACTTACCACAGGATGTGTTATTGGAGCGAAGTGTGAAATTACATGTAATGAAGTTATTCCTGAAAATACTGTGATATATGGATCACAATGTGAAAGACGGTTGCAATCCGAGAAGCCTTCAGTAAGTTGCTTCTTTTTTGTGTCTGTGTGTGATATAATTTTAAAACAATTTCATAATCATTATTTCTCTCACATATTCTGTAAGATTACCTTTTTTTTAATATTTAGGCTTTATTGACAAATGTGCTTAGCATTAAATGAATAATGAAACTTAAATTATGTAAATTTAATTCCCCCACCCCTAATGATTTTCATCTTAATTTCTCTTATTAAATTTATTTGATCTGAATTCTCTTAACCTACTGCAAACATCTGCAAACTTTATATAGAAATTCAATGAATGTTTGATGAGTAAAATATTTAATTTTTTTTTTACATCAGTGTATCGAACCTATTAAGTGTTATGCATCTCACTAAATTTATTGTTAATTTTATTTTCATAGTGTTTAAAAGTACTTTGGTAAATTAAAGCTTTTCTTCCCAGTACAGGATTTTTTCAGTATAAAAATATAATATAATAACAAGCTGAAGAACCTCAAATTTAGAATATCGAATTAAATGTTAACCTAAATATTGCATTATAAACCAAACTTTAAGTCACTTTGGGGTTGTTTTGAAATATGAGCACCACACGGTGTGAAGACTTTTCGGAAACTCTCAGGTTTCATATTTCAAGGTTGGCTGCTGTTATGTTTCTGCAGATTTTTTATCAGTACTGGATTTAAGAGCAGCATAAATAGGCAACTTAACTGGTGTACTGGCTTAATAATGTACCAAATACAGAAAAGAATTGAATAGAATTTTACTTGTATTAATTAAGACCATTAAAAGTGCTACAACACAAAGGTTGCATGCAATAAATGTCAAATTTATATGACAGGCATACACATAAACATTTATATGACAGGCATAGACACAACCATTCCAATGCATACACATAAAGTAGGTATAACTTACACCATCTACATTGTGTATGAATGAGAAGATTGCACACTGGGTTTGTTGTTTGGAAAATTATGTTTGAATGCTGTGTGTTTGTCTTAAGGCTGTGTTATGCCTTGTGCATGAACGAGAAATTTCAACTAGCATGGTTTGAATTTGACAACTACAACAGGGTCATGGCCTATTGGGACTGCAGTTTATCATTTCACAACATTGCTGCTTGTGTTAGTATCTCGTGACTGTCAGGTGAATATAAGATCAATAATTCCTGGAGGGCCTACTGAACATCATGCGGTATGTCAGCAGCCCTAGGCCATTAGTGCATGATAGTCAGGAACCTGGCTTGTGCATGATGAACAGATTATTTGACAGCTTCTGCAGACTGTCAGCATAGTAACCATTTTAGTAGCTTCTCTTGATGACCGATGAAATCTGGTATAGAGTTGAAGCTGTATGAAGTACTCTGCATCTGTCTTTTAAAGTACTCATATTTTAAAGCTAATAAAGTAGAATTTCCATAAACAGCAGTGCTGGAGACAAAGGTTTTGTGGATTAGAGGTTATATTTTTTCTGAGTTTTGTGAGTGTTTCTCCTTTTCTAATTTTTCATTAAATTTGGATTAATAAATAACTAATCAAAACCTACTCGTATCTTAAGAATTATGTAATCAAGATTTATTAAATACTAAATTATTATATTTTAAAAATAATGTTAATAAATATAAATATATACAAAGAAAATAATATCAGTATGAAAGGAAACATAATGGAATGAAAAAGATATAAACAATAAAGAAATTTTTGAAGGAAGTAAAGAAATCTTGTATGAAAATCAGTTAAAATATTTTGTTAGAAACAATGCATGTAAATCAGCAAGATTCTTTAAAAGTTATTTTTATACATTTAAATGAGAGGAAAGTAAATAAATAAAAATGGTATACTGTTCTCAAAATTCTCAGCAATAGATTTTTCATAAACGAAATCTGTATGATGCTTTTGCCATTATGTTCTTTTGTATATGTGTTCTGTGATTGGTGGTACATAGCAGCATGGACCAAAATTAAAATTTTGTATTTATTGCTAAAAATGTGTGTGTTTTATAGCTATTATTATTTTAAGCTCTATGCTTTGCCATGTTTTCCATTTTTAGCATGAGAAAATTTTCTACAAATGTTGTTTTTAACACCAGAAGTGTAGTTAGTCTTGATCTTCACTTTTATGTCCATATCACTTTTCAAACAAAACAAAAATCTTATGCCACATGTTATTTTTAAAGAAACAATACATTGAGTGTTAAAAAAAAAAATTCAAGTAATAATAAAAAGTCTAAGCAAAGTCATAAAGTCTAAGCATATATTGTTTTTAAACATTTTGTGATTTTGCAGTTAAATTTTATATGGTTTAAGTGCAAAAAAGTGATGTTTAGTAAATAAAGTTAAACAGATAGAAAGTCATATAGGTCATCTTGTTAAGAGAACTGAATGCTGATATGATGAACTGAGAAAATAGAAAAATGTTGGGCAGTAGTTAATGTTCTGTTGGGAATTTTTGAAATGTTGTCTGTTAAAAAATTTTGTTTTAAAAATCTTTTAAATTTTATGTTGCATATGTGCTTATGTTTAATAAGGTTGAAAGGCAAAATAAGTTGTGTTAGGAGGAGTGGGTCCAAGACCAGATTGGTAAATTGCTAGCTTAGCAAAAGCATAATAAACCATCTGGTGCAAAGCTAAAATCTGATTCCTTTCAAGTTAATCTGAAAGGACAGATTTTTCTTTCTTAAAAATCTATCTCTTATCATCACTTAGGAAACAAATTTACACATTAGACTAGAAGAGAAACACGCTAATGTGACAATCAAAATCGTAAAAACAACCTTGTATTTAGCGTAAGTATAATGAAACACTCAATCGATTTCGAGGGCAGCTAAAGGTCCCTCCTCATCAGAAGAAAGAAATACCTAGAAAGAAGAAAATAAAATAAAATAAAGGAGGAGTTTCAGAAACACGTGGTCCTTATCAACACTGCACGTGGTTATAACTGGATTTTTAATCAGAGTTGCACTGGCCGCCTACTTTTACTGAGCCAGGCTATCTGATCAAGCATAAAGGACAAGAAAAATTAGCAAAGATAGGAAGCGAGGGACAAATGCACCTTCACTCAAAATCTGAACTTCAAAAAATGGAAAGCAACCACTGAACAGATTTTTATACCCTCTGGTAGTACCAAACGCGAGGAGGTAATGCCATCTATCGGCAAAAACAACTGAATTAAGATAGTAGAATTTTAAAGGCATTAGGAAGGACTGGATTGGACTTCAAATCATTAACTAAACCTGCTAAATCTTTGTGAATGCGAAAAGCCTCAAGAAAATCCAATTCACCTATGGAAGAAGCCTTTTGGATAATTTTTGACCCAAAGTCAAATTATGGTTAAATGTCCAACTATGATACGCTATTGAAGACTTGTTAATTTTGCCTTTTCTGACATAAGATTCATGTTCCTTGATACGAAACTTCAACGCTCTTTTTGTTTGGCCAATATCTTAACCACACTGACACGATATACTATAAATTCCCCAAGAATTCAAGACAAACGCAATCTTTTAGAATAGAAGGTGAATTTTATTAATAGGGGAGAAACCGACTTGAAAATTGAATTTTCTGGAGAATCCGTGCAATTTTATAGCTAACAGAAGGATAAAATGGAGCACGACAAGGTCATTAATATTATTTCTAACAGTGGAATGTCTTCTTTGATGGGAATCTAAAAATTTTTTAACGGCTTTATCAATAATCACGGGAGAAAATTCACGGTCAATCGCAACTGCTCTCAAATAATTAAGTTCATTGGTAAGCAAAGATTCAGAGAAACAAACTTTAAGCGCGCGGAATACATAATAGTAAAAAGAAGCCATTTTTTGCTTAACAGGGTGGCATGACTTGGCATGGGGTGGTAAACAAACTGCAAAGGGTTTACAGTACACAGTGGTGCTAAAATCAGTTTCATAGCGGATTATAAGAATATCAAGGAAGGGGAGGGAATTGTTGGATTCAATTTAAAGAGTGAATTGGATGGCTGGATCAATTGAATTCATAATAGATAGAATCTCGGATATAAATCCTCTTTATAACCATCAAAAAGTGCGAAAGTGTCGTCAGCATACCAAATCCAAAGACGAAAAGATAGTTTATCAAATAATTTCATCTCAAAATAGTGCATATAAATGTCAGCAAGTACCGGTCTGAGAGGATTACCGATAGCCAATCCTTCAACTTGACGAAAATAAGCATTTTGGAAAACAAAGTGGGTTTGACTTAGAGAAACTTTAGTAAGCGAAACCAACTCATTAATTTCAGTATGTGTGAAGTGAAATTCCCGAAGCCTAGTTTCAAGACAATTTAGTGTTCCTTCGACCGGAACATTAGTAAACAGTGATTTGACATCAAATGAAACCATAATGGTACGAAGTGGAGAAATATTTTTAAGTTTATCAATTTTTTACAGTGTGAATATTGTTAGCAAGTAGAGGAGAAAATCTGGAAACTAAATATTTGGCCAAAGGATATGAAGCAGTACCTATGTTGAAAACAATTGGTCGAAAAGGAATAACGGTTTTGTGGACTTTTGGAAGAGCATAAAGCCTAGCGCAATTAGTAATAGGTGGAATAAGTGATTTCTTCAACTGAGTTGGCAGAATGTGGGAAGATTTAATAGCACTTTTAACTTTCGTGAGGTCCGAAGTTGAATGATCTTTAGGGATCAAGCAGTATGGGCCTTCATTTATCAGTTTAAAGACTCCTGTAGTATATGCGTGTTTGTCCATAAACAACAATCTGTCTGCCCATATCAGCTTTAGAGATAATGATATTAGTATCAGAATGAATTTCACATAAGATCTCATTTTCCTTTTTGCTAAGATTCGAACCCAAAGATTTGTTAAAATTAACGTTATGAGTAATTAGGTGGTGGATTGTATCCTTCTGCGTTTCCGAAATTTTGGAGAATTTAAAGGCTTTCTCTATAGAGGCGATGATTTGAGGAATTGAAGGTTTAAATGTCTTTGAAAAGTTGAAATTATATTTTAATACTTTTAACTGATCCTCCGAAAGATTCCTATTCAAGATATTAACGATGGGGCTAACGTTTACAGTGGGAAGATCAGCCAGATAGGTGGGACTATCCGACTGGTGTGTGAGTTAAAGGAATTTAGAAATAAGCACATTTTTATGCCGTTGACAAACGGTATCGGTTCTAGACCAGGATGTATGTTCAAATGAGGAAACATTTTCATTGAATTAGCAATTTTTAAATGGAGGTAATATAATTCAAATTCAATTTTAGATAAACGTTTGTGCGTGTCCCTTATAATATGACGAAGAAGTGCCAATTTGAATTTATGCAAAATTTTTTAAATGTGAACGGAAGCTTTAAGGCTACATTTCACATGTATAAATTTGGGAATGATATTTTCATGTTTGAATATAAGTAGAAACTGTAGATGATTCAAGAATTTCGTACGCTTAAGGCGTAACTTACAAAATCAGTTCCTGTCAGTGGACATATTGTGAAAAGGATACAGGCAAGAAACAAGTGAACAAAAGAAATATAATTCCGAAAGTGCAAACAAGTAATTACTTATAACATGAAAAAACACCAATAAATAATGAAGACAATTTTCATCAACATATGACAAAAACATTCCAAAAGGAGAGAAACATCCAATACTGAAAACCAATAGCCATGTGGAAAGAAGCAACGAAAGTCAAAATCGTGCACGTGGTAAAACGATAAAAAGTAGAATTTCCTCGAAAATGCCGGTTGATAGCATAAACCAAATCCGAAAAACTAATAGCCACGTGGAAAGAAGTAAATAAAATGGTACACGTGATAAAACAATAAACAGTAAAATATTCTCGAAAATGCCGGTTGATAGCACAAACTAAACTTTCACTAATTTTTCGTGTCCTTTATGCTTGATCAGATAGCCTGGCTCAGTAAAAGTAGACGGCCAGTGCAACTCTGATTAAAAATTCAGTTATAACCACATGCAGTGCTGATAAGGACCACGTGTTTCTGAGACTCCTTCTCCTTTATTTTATTTTATTTTCTTCTTTCTAGGTATTTCTTTCTCCTGATGAGGAGTGACCTTTAGCTGCCCTCGAAATCGATTGAGCGTTTCATTATACTTACGCTAAATACAAGGTTATTTTTACGATTTTGAAATTTACACATTGTTTGGAATATAAATAAACCATCTACAAATTGAATTTAAATGGAGCAACTTCTGAAAACCTGTAGTTAAATAAAATCTTTGTGCAATTTAACCATATAAACTGAAAATTAGTTTTAAAGACAGTGGAATGTGCACTTAATAATAGAGATGTACCGTGCATTTCCATATATAAGCTGAGAATTTTTGGAGCTTTTGTTAAGTCAAATTACAGGGATCGGCTTATATAAGGATCTGCTTATCTCTTAAAAAGCATAGGTACTCTTCCATTAGCTGAGCACCAGCTATAAATTGCTAAATATTATACTTTATCATTTCTTTAGTTTATATTTCTTAAGCTTATGGAAAAAAGTTAATTTTAAAAGCATTGAATGAGTGATTTTATTTTTTAAATTATTTATAATACTGGTTTGTTGCATCATTTGCCAAAATGAAAAATATGATGTTGGCAAAAATTGTGCCCTATTTCTCCACTTTCAAATTTGTTTTTCATTTATGGAGAAATGCGGAGCACCTGCACTGTTGTTTAATTTTCAGCAAAAGTGATCAACTTTAGTTTGAAATTTACCTTATAAGAATTTCTTTTTCCTTTCATCTTTCAGACAAAAAGAGATAAAATGGCATGCAAAATAAGACTAGCACAGATACCACATATTGTACACAACACAACAGATGAATGAAATAAATGTGGTTTCTTCATTCTAGTGGATTACCAAAATTAAAACTGTCAGTATTGACATCTTACATTTTACTGTATGGTAAAAATAGGAAAGTGTTCCACGCATTTTGCTTAGCAACATTTTCTAATGTTGCAGAATTTTTTCCCCTCTCACTTCAGCTTATATACAGGTTTTATACAGGTTTTGAATTTAGATAAATATTTTTTTAAAAAAACTCACTCTCGGCTTATATTTGGTATCTAAAGCAGAAAGTATACAGAGATCCATTATTTGTGTTTTCTATAAAAACATAATTAATGTGTGTTTATGGAGAGTGAAAGCCAAATAACTTTTTGTTTTTTTATACTTTTAACCTGCAAATAAATTTAAGTTTATTTTGTTTGTAAAGTATATTTCTATGTTTTAATTAGCTTATAGTATATGTAAAAGTTCATAATTCTTACTTTTGTTTTTAAAGCCTCAAACCCTGCAACTTGAATTCCTGACAAAAATTTTACCCAACTATCACCACTTGCGAAAACCAACTCGTACCGAAGCTAAGTGAGAAAAACTCTGTGTATATGCTGTATATAAAACTGTTGATCTTCATTCAGAATAATTTTTGTATGGCTATGAAAAATAAATGTATTTAAATGTTATAGTTCTCATTCTTTTGTTTCTGTTTTTTCTTTTACAAAATTTTTACTTTAGTTTTTCTTATGTTTTTATTATATGATGTATAATTTTATTTCATTTAAAAAAGCTTGTTTTATTAGTTAATTTAATTTTGAAATATATTTTCATTCTTTAAAGAAGCTTTTACAGTCCTTTTTATGTGTGCTTTATTATTTTCTTTATAAAGCATAAACTTGCTACCATTTAATTTTATGCTATGTTTTTCATTCATTCAATATTATTCAGCAGTATATGTTCAAATATATACACTTGCAAGTCCTTTTTTGAGTATTTATTGTAAGTATTTGTGATGTTATTTTTTAAAACAATAATACTGTTTAAGGAATAATTTTTGTCTCGACCTCTGTCTATATAAATTAAATATATTTAAAGACATAAAGTAAGAAATTTAGAATTAATTTTTCACAAAGACCAAAAATTGAAATTCATAATTAATAAATTTCAAATAATCCTATAAATGTTACAAAGAATTTTAAAAATGTGTTAAAATCAAAACTTTTCAAACAAGCAATACCCCAGTTCAAAAAATTAATGAATTTTGAAATGAAGAAAATGAACATAACAGAAAAGGAATTCAATCAACTTTAATTCCACTTCATCAGAGGGGAGGAACGTTGAAATCTCTCTTCTACAAAAATCTTTTCTTTTCTGTATCCAGAATTAGCTGAGGAACCATTTCAATGTATTTTAATTATAATAGTTCACCCGAAAATTCTGCACCTTCCCTAAAGCAAGAGAAAAAAGCAAAGTAAATTCTAATTAGAATCTTGAACCTTAAATAAAAAATAATTATATTTTATTTAAGGAATTGAAAATGTAAGTGAAAAATTTAAATCAAAATTTTTACCTTTAAACATATAGCATATAATCAGAGAATTTTAAAATGTTATAAAACTTAAGTGAAAAGACTTACTCACAAGAAGTAATTAAAAACTTCATGCACATTCAATAGACTACAATCAAAACTAATAATATTGTTATAGTAGTGACGTACAGGTTTGCCATTTTGGCTTCATTGGCAAAATTAAAAGACCATGGCGAGAAAGTAATCACTCAAAAGGCTAAAATTTGGAACAAAAGAAAAACTTTTAAATACTTCAATAAAAATTTTTAATTTTGACTGAGAAAAAGATTACTTTATAAATTGAATGAAATTTAAGTAAATTCTGACTCTTTCAAAACAAAAATGGTAATAAAGAATATTCAGTATAAAACTTTAATTATGCTTTTAAAAAAAATAGACTCGAAAAAGTTGCCCAAATAGTGTTTGAAATTTTTAATATTTGTTTTGAGAGTAGAAAAATGCATAAAGTTCAACTTTAGATTTTTTAAAATTGTTGTTTAAAATTACTGAAAAAGTAAGTAAAGGAACTATTCTTAGAAATGTAAAAAGTCTTCACGTCATAAGTTTATCATGACGACATTGAATGCATATGGTGCTTATTTAGTAACAGAACAGTAATTAAGAGAAAAAATAAATAAAAAAATGGAAAAATCCTTTAAAGGAAAAAAAAAAAGTATTACAGAGTGTAGACTACTCCAGTTTTCTTTAAAAGATTATTAATAAATTTGAAAGGAATTTCATTAGCTTTTAAACTTTTGGTGAGAATTAGGATTTCTTCTTTTTGTGTTTCTATTTCATTGTAAACTTTTTTTAATTCTGCTAATTTGGTTAATTAATAGTATTTTCAATAACTTTTTTAGATATGTTGGAGTTCCAATTCATAAGTTTATTAGTAGAAAAATTTAAATCTTTTCTTTTATCAAAAAGTTTAATTTCTGTTAGATTATGAATACTTAGGTCAAGATAAATTATTTCTGTTTGTTTTTTATTGGTCTCATTTAGTTTTAGATAATTTGGGTAGATGTTGCTATTTTCAACGAGATTAAAATTGTTGAAAGTTTTCTTTAAAAGATTATTAATAAATTTGAAAGGAATTTCATTAGCTTTTAAACTTTTGTTTAAATTTTATGAGTAGAAATAATAATAATAATAATAAAACTGTATAATTATCAATATATCTAAAAATGTCATCAATATATCTAAAAGTTGTGTTTAAATTTACTGAAATTGTTATCAGAATGTCCTGATATTCTTTATTACCATTTTTATTTTAACCCTCTGCGGGACACCTAAAAATTTCCTTCTGTACGCACAGAAATATTTAATGAAAAAGGATTTATAGGTTACCCTGAACCTTCTTTATTTAAAGTAGATGGCAGCTGAACACAAACCTGTCCATGAATTTTAGGCCATGCTTAGTTTTTTAAGATCCTCATTTTTCAAATAAATGTTCCAGATTTTTTTAGGGTATAAAAGGAATTGTTTGAAAAGAAATTTTTATGTTACTTTTTTGGCTGTATGCTAATCTCCTTATTCTATATTAGTTTTAAATTTTTATCTTGAAATCTTGCCTAAAATCAAACGGCGAACCTCAGGTGTTCCCAGACCAGGCTCACTGAGAAGTTAGGACAGCTGAAAAACTGTATTCTTTGTTTCTCCGCATCTCGTCGGTCAGTTCATTAACAACAGAAAGGTGGGTCCACATCTGTGTTTCATTTCCTGTTTTTCTCTTTCTTCTTTTCTCTTTATCTCTCTCTTCCTTTTTTTGTTTCAGTTAGCTGTTTGGTTTTTCACTAGAGCAGTTCTCTTTTGCTTTCGTTCAAAGTTTCGCTAGCACTACATTTAATAGCTTTGAGTTGTAGACATTTATTTAGTTTTATTTTATAGTTTATAATTTCTAATTGTATATATAATATTAGTTTTTTTTATTATTATTATTATTATTTTCCAAACGGATTGGAGAGTTTTGACCCTTTCTGAAGCACTGAAAGTGCTACACGAATTGCTTTTGGATAGTAAATCTGATACGGATCCCGGTAGATGTGCAAAAAATGCAATATTTGGTTGTGCTTATTCATAGGTGGTGTCACTTTCTTCGAAAAGTACCACCATGAAAAAAATAGACTAAAGTGTAAATATGAAATGTAAATATCTAAACCAATGTACCCAAATTACTTTTTTCCATTCATGCACATGTAATCATCATATAACCAAAAAAGAACTTTTTAGGGGGAGTGTAGAGTATCAGGTCTCCCTGTGGCACACCCAGGGTAATGCTAAATCTGCTGTGGTATTCAGAATCTAGTATTTTTTAATCGCAGGCAAAAACTCTTACTCTTTGATACGCTTCCCAGCAATGCTCATTTCAGCACTCTTTTCGAAGCTCTATTCAATCAGTGTGCCTGATTCGGGCACACCCGCAGAAATAAAACGATAAGTGCTATCTTCACAAAATTTTACTTGCGTACTTCTCTAGACCTAATTAAACTGCCTACCTTTTTTTTTTTTATCGAAATTCCAACTTTAAAAGGTAGCGTGCCGGAAAGGGTTAAAAGTGTCAGAATTTAATTAAATTTTACTCAGTTTATCAAGTAATCTTTTTCTTAGTTAAAATTAAAAATTTTTATTGAAGTATTCTAAAGTTTTTCTTTTTTGGTTTAAAAATTCCATCTTTTCTAAATTTTAGCCTTTTAAACTATTACTTTCTCTCCAAGGTTTTTTTTTTTTTTTTTTAGTTTCTCCAATGAAGCCAAATGGTAAACCTGTACATAACTACTATAACAGTATTATTAGTTTTGATTGTAATCTATTGAATGTGCTCGAATTTTTTAATTAAGTCTTTTCACGTAAGTTTTATAGCGTTTTAAAGTCTTTCGATTATATGCTATATGTTTAAACGTAAAAATTTTGATTTAAATTTTTCACTGAAGTATTTTATTTTTTCACTTACATCTTTATTTCCTTAAATAAAATAGAATTATCTTTACTTAAGGTTCAAGATTCTAATTAGAATTTACTTTGTTTTTTCCTTGCTTTGGCCAAGGGCCAGAATTTTTGGGTGAACTAGTATAATTAATACATTGAAATGCTGATTCAGAAGTCAAACAACAAAAATCAGCGTTAATTTACAAAATTTTCACAGGACTAGTTTCGATGGTTTTACCGAACCATCATCTTCAGCTGCAAAACCGCAAATGAACAAGATAGGAAATAATGTTTAGATAAGATAAGAAAGCCTGGACAAGAATAAGCAAGTGGCGCCATCTGTTGGCGAAACCAGAACTAAAACATAATTTCTCTAAAAGCCGAAGGCAAATTTGGATTGGAATTAGGATCGTTAACTAGAACAGAAAGATTTTTATGAATGTGAAATGCCTCTAGAAAATCCAGTTCTCCAATGGAAGATGTTTTTTGAATAATTTTGGCAGCAGAAAAATTGAAAGTGTGATTTTCGGACCAACAATGTTGAGCAACAGAAGACTTCTGTGTTTCCTTTTTTCTAACATATGCCTCATGTTCTTCGACGCGAAATTTTAAGGCTCTCTTAGTTTGGCCAATGTAAATTAAACCGCACTGGCAAGGAATCCTATAAATACCCCAGGAATTCATATCCGGAATGGGGTCCTTGAGTATAGAAGTTGGAATTTTATTGATGGGAGAGTAAACAACCCGAAAGTTAAATTTCTGCAAAATATGTGCAACTTTATAGCTAATTGATGGAAAGAAGGGAATGACAACAGAATTTTTATAATCTCCTAAAATAAAGAGTGTGGCTTTTTAGTGTGTTGAGATGAGAATTTTTAACTGCTTGATTAATAATGTTGGGTGAAAAGCCCCTGTCAATAGCTATTGCTTTTAAATAATTTAGTTCTTCATCAAGGGCTAGTTTGGAGGAGCAAACTTGAAGAGCACGGAAAACATAGGAATAAAATGAAGCTAACTTTTGTTTACTCGGATGACATGATTTAAAGTGTGGTGGAAGGCAAACCGATGAAGGTTTACGGTAAACTGTAGTACTGAAGTTGGATGTGTTACGTGTAACCAGAATGTCGAGAAATGGAGGAGAATTGCAAGTCTCAAGTTCAAAAGTGAACTGAATAGCAGGATCAATAGAATTCATTGTTGA